ATGTTAAATTTACGTCATTTTGCTATTATTGCAAGTCAGCAATATTGTATTGCATTCCTATGCAATATCATCAAAATAAGGGATGTAACAGAACGCAAATGCTTCCGCTGTGGTGTAGGCGGCCACACTGCTTACGGCTGTACACAGTCGAAAGATGTGGTGTGTTTCCGGTATGGACAAAAAGGAGTCAAAGTACCTGAGTGTCCAAAATGTAATGCCAAGCCAAAAAACGAGTAAGTCAGGGCCTTGTTAAGAGATCACCATTCGGTTCAGAGCGAGCTTCTCTGTCTGATGACCACTCTGATAGGGTTTACCAAACGGGATAATGATATAAGACCGTATTTAGTGGTTAAGATCCTGGACTTAAATGTTCTAGGTTTACTTGATTCGGGTGCAGCTTGCTCTGTGTTGGGTAAGGGAGCGCACCACATTTTTTTGGAATTAGGATTTGAGCTTGAAAGCATCAGCCCTAAATTTAGTCTAACTAGAGCAGACGGCTCATATCTGCCATGTCTGGGCTGTATTTCTTTGCCTATTGAATATAATTCTGCTGTCAGAGTTATTAAGTTCTATGTTGTTCCAGACATTACTACTGCTATGATATTTGGTGTAGACTTCTGTCAACAGTTTCAATTGGGGGATAGACTGATCTCTCAGGATATCAATCTTTCCAACTTTAGCGACTGTAATCCTGTGGAAGCTCTGTCTCTCAACAGTGGTCTAAAGGATTACAACAATTTGACCGCCGATCAGAAGCGGGTAATTAACAGCATCATTGAGAAGTTTGATACGATCAACACGGACAAGGTAGGTTTAGGTCGGAAATCTCTGGTGCATCATGTCATAGATACAGGCGACAGTAAGCCAATCAAGCAACGGTACTATCCGCTCTCTTCCCTGAAACAGAAAGCCCTGGAAGAGGAACTGGACCGGATGTTGGAGATGGGAGTAGTGACCCCATCTCAGTCCGCGTGGAACTCACCAGTGGTGATGGTGGAGAAAGCGAACGGTGACCTAAGATTGTGCCTTGATTCTCGAAAGCTCAATTCTGTGTCTAAGAGCGATGCGTATCCATTACCTTATATCAACCAAATCCTAGACCATCTCAATAATGCAAAATATTTGACTTCTATTGATTTAAGTGCGGCGTATTGGCAGATTCCTTATGACTCGCCTCAATCCACCGAGAAGACCGCCTTCACCGTCCCACAAAGGGGTCTCTTTCAGTACAACGTTATGTGTTTCGGTCTCATCGGAGCTTCAGCTTCGATGCAACGCCTCATGGACCGCCTGTTTGGTCCCGAGTTCGACAATAGGGTATTTGCGTTTCAGGACGACATAATCGTTGTGACCAGCACCTTTGAGGAGCATGTGGATCTCTTACATAGAGTCTATCAACCCTTATGTAAATTAACTTCTAAGAATGTACCATTTGAGTAGACGCGTGAAGCTGAAGAGTCTTTCAACCTGTTGGAAGCCGCTTTGGTCACCGCTCCTATTTTAAAAATGCCTGACTACTCTTTACCTTTTAGGATTCTCACTGACGCGTCCTCCTTCTCTGTGGCTGCTGTACTCACGCAGACACATGAGGGAGTGGAACACAACAAAAACGAAGTCAACTACAGTACCACTGAGCGAGAACTCCTAGCGGTGATCTTTGCTCTGGAACAGTTCAGGCAGTACGTGGAAGGCCAGAAATGCACCGTAGTTACGGACCACGCCTTGCTACTGTGGTTCGCAAGCTTAAGAATACGACAGGTCGCCTAGCGCGCTGGAGCATAAGGTCGAGCCAGTTTGACGTCGATATAGAGCATCGAAAAGGTACAGACCATGTGGTACCCGATGCTCTGTCACGAATTCAAATTGACACAATAGGCACCAGCGTTACTAGGGACTCTTGGTATCTCCACACTCTAGACAGTGTGAAGAAGAACCCTCAGCATTTTCCCAACTTTGATATACGTAATAACTGTTTATACAGGCTATCAAAAAATAATTACTCTCTGACCTCTGATTTTGATTGGAAGTTGGTGGTGCCGCTGGAAGACAGGTTATCCCTGCTCACCAAGTACCATGACGACGTCATAAGTGCCCAAGGGGCGTTTGGAAACCCCATAAACGCCTGGCCTTCCACTATTACTGGTCTGAGATGTACGAGAGTGTCAAGGAATATGTAAACAAGTGCGAGACTTTACAGACTGCTTACAGCAGTACAAACCTGTGAACACTACTCGTCCCAGCCTAATGGAGAATCCGAAACGGGTGTCTAGACCTTTTGAGGCCATCTCTTGTGACCTGCTGGGTCGATTCCCTACTTCCATCAAGGGAAACGTTCGTTTAATTGTGGTTTCGGACTATTTTAGTAAATATGTCATGTTGTGTCCTATAAGGATAGTTACAGGCGTTGCTGTCGAGAGATTCATAGAACGGAATGTTTTCCTAATCCACGGGGTTTGTAAAACCATTTATATGGATAATGGCCCACAGTTTGTCAGCAAACCGTTTAAGAACTTAATAGTTAAGTACAATATGCCTAACATTTATTATAATCCCAGATATCATGCGCAGACCAATCAGGCAGAGCGAGCTATTCGCAACGTGGTTCAGGGAATTTCCTGCTATGTGAAGTCACATCACAAGAAATGGAACTCGTGGAACTCCAGTGTGCCCTAAACACGGCTGTAAGCGAAGCCACTCGTTTCAGCCCGTATTTTCTTGTTCACGGTCGGGAATTCATAGGGGATGGTGTTCTTTATAGACAGGAAGAGATTCCTTCCCATCCTAATTCTGTCTCCATTGACAGTCCAGTGTCCTTTGAGAGATTGAAGGAACTGCATCGTATATATCTAACAAGGCTAAGAACATTACGGCAAAGTTGGCGCCTAAATTTATGAAATGCATTATTACCGCCAAACGCTCTCCTTTAGTCTATGAACTGTCGGATTTGGATGGTAAGGATCTGGGAGTCTATCACATTAAGAACATCTTGAAGTATAGTGAAAAGGAACAACCTTCTGATCCTTCTCCTCCCTATGTCGGTTCCGTCTCTATGTCGCTCGGCCGATTGTGAGATTGCCCACTTCGCGTCGCGCGGTCTCTTTTTACCACACATCTGCTCACTTTATGTTATTCACATATGTGAGAACCATACAGTGATTCGGGTAGTTAATAGAGTGACACTTCTGTGGTATTGGGTATGGTCTTTTAACTTTGTTTGTTTTTTTTGAAAGGGTAGTTATTGTTTTGTTTGGACTTCGTGTTGCTCACAACTAGTGTGGTCATCGCGAGCTATATAATTCATTTAGCATTTCTCAGGTTGGCCCTGTTGATATTATTCCCTGCGCATGCTACGCAGGGAATACTTTGAGGGAGGGGGTGGTGTAACAGTTATTTATCCAACATATTTGTATTGCGTACGGAGTTATCAATAGACACCTGTCGCCCCAGCGTCGCACTTATTTCGCTGCAGGTTACGGTTGGCTTATCCGAAGTAGATTATAACTATAGTATTGATGTCTCTTCGTCCACCATCGGACCACTAGATGGCGTGTTTTTTCGGTATGTCGTAGTAATAATTTATCCTGTCAAAATGTATTGGTGTTATATGTGTCCTGATTTGGTAGGAAGCGGGTACCATTCAATTGAGTCGAGTTAACCTCAATGATAATGTGAATTCGATTTAGTTCCCATTCATGACTAACAAAGAAGTGTTTCACTCTTGGGGTAAGGTCCAGTTTTTTACGGGCCGATTTCAAAGCGCTACAGTCTGTGACGACTACGAACTTACGACCATGCAGAAAATGTCTAAAGTGTTTTACAGCGTTCAGGACAGCAAGGGTTTCCAATTCATAAGAGTGGTATTTCGACTCGGCGGACGTGGTGCGACGGCTATAGTAGGTAACTACATGTGGTGCGCCATCAATCCTTTGAATCAAAATGGCACCTTAACCGATTGCACTAGCGTCTGTATGGAGCTCGGTTTTGCGGTCGGGTATCATAGTATACAAATGTGCCATCACTTGCGAAAATTTAGGCACAAACTGTCTCAATTAGGAGGCTAAACCAATAAATTGACGCAATTGAGTGATGGTCTCTGGTGGTGGTAAAGCTGTTAGGGCTTCGATTTTCCTAGGGTTACGTCGAATTTGACCTTGGAACACTTCGAAATTGAGGTATTCGACTATCTGCTTCAGAAAGGAACACTTTTTGGGGTTTAGGGTAAAACCTGTGTCCGTGTAAACCTAAAGAACCAATCTCAGTCGTTCAAGCGCCTCTTTTGCATGATTTGCAATTATTAAGATGTCATCCATATAGACCACAACGTACTCGTCAGACTCCCCAAAACTTTCATAACCAAACCAAAAAGTCGTTTAAAACATTTTAATCTCCACAGTTTGTTTGATCGTAGGCAGTTATTGGATCAGATTTTGCTTTACAAATTAGTTAACGGTGACTTAGACTGTCCCATTCTTATTGAGAAAATAAATATAAATGCTCCCTCAAGGTCTCTCCGTGCCAATAAATACGCTCCTTTTTCTATTAAATCTTCTAAATCCAACTTGGGTCAGAACGCTACTATAAATAGACTACAAAGCCAGTATAACAAGCTGACGAAAAATCGTGAAATTGATGTAGACATCTCAAACAGTCTTCCAAAATTTAAGAGCAAAGTTATTGCGTCATTTAGATTTAGACCACTTTAAATGCATCACTGTTTCTAATTAATTTCGATGATGTTCTGTATGTTTCGTATATTATTATAGATATTGCATTGTATAATCTTAGATGCAACTGTCCCTTACCATGCCGTGGCAACTTGTAAGTAAGACAACACTCAGAAAATAATTGTAAAACATGTTTGTAAATTATGTATTAGTGTATGTTTTGTAAGTTGGCCTATATAAATAAATAAATAACGGTGCGTTGAAAAACTGACTAGACTCTCTCATTAGCGAGCACTCGACTCCAAAATTGTATGTAAAGTTAAACTGCTCACCAGCATGTCGCAGCATCCCCTCAGGTGCCTTTACAATACAGACGTTGACACGCTTCTCTTGTTAAGGCCCAGGCACGCTGCTGGTGCTGCTCTCCCTGCTGGTTTGTCGTGGACAGCTTTTAGCGTATGTCCCGGTGCGCATCAGCTGAAACAGATAGCGGAAGTTTTCCAAGATGTGACGTCAGCTGGTGTCTTTGGTCTCGCATTTTGATTTAATCGCTCCAAATCGTCAGCGGCATTGTATTGCCTTGTGGCCTATTTTGCCACAAATGTAACACGGCGCAGAAGAAGTTTCGGTAGCGAAACGAGATCAGGTGAGTGTGATCAGGCGGTTGGGCGGATTTCAGCCAGCAACAGCAGAAAAACCATGCAAAAGAAAATTATTATATTAGGGGATCATGATCAAGCCCGAGGAATATCTGCATCTCTGCTGAAATTAAGGAGTGCTGACCAAGGCGACATCTGCTACAGACCCTACGCTTTGATAAAAAGAGACGCACCGAGCTCAGAAATATTGACACAGTGTGATAGCATTGCAAAAAACATAACCGAAGATGATATTGTGATCCTTAGTATTGGAAGTAATGATAGTAATATACAAGAGCTGCACTATAACCTTAGCTTAATAATTAATAAGTTTGGTAAGGCGTACACCTATATTGCACCTGTATTTCATAATCCATACTTGAATATAAAATACTTAAATATGACATTAAAATTGTGGACTAGTCATTTGAAAAATTGTACTGTGTTAGACCAGTATTACGCTGAAAACAATTATTATTATAACTATGCTGATTATATTTCTAAGAAAGTCAGCTTGTGTATTGATTATAACGCATATAAATTGAAATACTTATCGCCAAAAAAAATAAAATTATATATAATGAGATCCAAATTAAACTGCAACAACAAAACTAACCAAAAGAACTTAACTGTAACGGGTATTAATTTTAATAAAAAGGATACCTTACTACTTTCGACCGAAGAGCCTTGAGAATAAAGCAAAAATTTCTATTGACGGTGGTAGAAGTGTGTGTAATACCACGATGGTGAATCAACCGAATCATCCCACTCCCTCCGATGGAAAAAAGTTGTTTCGACCCTAATTCGTGTAATAACCTTACTCTTCTTCATCAGAATATTCATGGTATTTTAAAAAAAAAAGAATTATTCGAGATAACCCTTGACATCATTAAAGATAGGTTTAGTCCTGACATAATATGTTTAACAGAAACTTTTGTCAAAACCGGTACAGAAAAAAATATCAACATCTCAAACTACGAACTAGCGTCTTGTTATTGTAGACAAAACAAAAGAGCAGGTACATGCATATTGATTAAAAGGGGTGTTCCATTCAAAATTCTAAATTGTTTTGATGAATTTCGGATGAATTTTCATTTTGAACTTTGCGCTATCAAGTTGGAAACACACAACGTAATAATAATATGCATTTACAGAATTCCTTAAAAAAATAGCAGACATCTTCAATATTTTTTGCAAAACTTGAATCTTATGCTATTTAAATACCTGTCTATTTATGTTAAAAGTAGTATTATAATAACCGGGGATCTGAATATAAATACTCTTGACCTGCAGAAAGACATTACCAAACAATTTATGGACATTTAAAAAAAATACAATTTAATATCTCACATCTCTGACCCCACCAGAGGCAAATCGTGCATTGACTTAATTATTAGCAACATTAGGATTGCAGAAGGGTCACTTCTGCCCTTATGGTTATCTGATCACAACACTGCACAAATACTCACATGGCCTGTAATGTATAAAAATAAAATACCCGAGTTTGTATTTAATTTTAAAAGGTGTTACTCTATCGAAAATATTACTAAGTTTTGTCAGTATCTACCTAGCATTCAATATTTGAAATATTACAATGAAACTGATCTGAATCTAGCATTTAACATATTCTATGATTACTTTTGCTTATTGTATCAACTTTGTTTTCCGATTATTAAGGTAAAAATATGGTTATCAAAAAAAAAAAATTGGATGACAAAAGGACTACGTAAAAGTTGTAGTTATAAAAGAAAATTGCTCCATAAATATTATTTCACTAAATCTAAAAAAGATAAACATATTTATCTAAGGTATGACAAACTGTTAAAAAAATGTATTAATACAGCTAAACGAAAAACAAATAGAGATTATGTTGTCAATAGTAAAAATAAATGTAAGGCGACCTGGTCAGTTATTAAGAGTGAAGCGAGCTCTGCAAATAAGGGCAATTACATTACTGAGATAAACAAAAAAGGTGAAAAAATTACAGATCCATTACAAATAGCTAATGAATTCAATCAGTATTTTTAGACTTAAGCAAAGCGTTTGATTTTGTGAGTCACGATGTACTAATTCAAAAACTGGATAAAACTGGCGTAAGTGGTATAACCTTACAATGGATAGATTCATATTTAAGCAAACGAAGACAAATTACAAGAATAACCAAATTCAATAGTGGCACTAATTGTTTACAATATTTCGATTTAACTATTACGGAACCTAGGTTTGACTATTACGGAGTACCGCAAGGTAGTATTTTGGGGCCATTACTATTTCTTATTTACATCAATGATCTCCCTCAAGCAATGCAAAATCGCAAATCTGTGCTATTTGCAGACGATACTACAGTGTTAATAAGTGGTAATAATTTAAATTCATGTAAACATGAAGTAAATGAGACACTTCAGAATATCATCAAATGGCTTGATACGAATAATTTAAAAATTAATATATATAAAACAAAACTTATTCATTTCAGAACAGTAAAAACAAAACAATTTGATATTTCAGTTAAATTTAATGATTAAGAAATAGAACAAATACAGAGCACAAAATTTCTAGGTGTTACACTGGACGAACATCTGACGTGGAAGTATCACATAGAAAACGTTTGCAAAAAGATGAATAAGTTTGTGTTTGCATTAAAAAAAGTCAAAGAGGTTGCTTCAAGGGAGACTGCTTTAAAGGTCTACCATGCATATGTTTGCTGCATAATTCGTTACGGCATTATTATTTGGGGTTACTCATCAGAAATAACGCGAGTATTTTTAGCGCAAAAGAAATCGCTTTGAAATGGACAGATTCATGCAGGCCTGTTTTTGTATCTCATAATCTGTTGACCGTCCCTGGCATATTCATCTACGAAGTAGCTAAATTCGTAAAGTGCAATAAAGAGCTCTTTGAAGTCAAGGACAATACCAACAAACGTAAAAATACTCACTCGTATTTTAAATTACCAGTACCTCGCCTAGAAATTTTTAGGGTGAGCTGTGGTTACATGGCACCACTTATCTATAACGCGTTGCCGGAGAATATTGCAACTCTTCCTTATCACAGATTTTGTACTTCATTAAAAAATTGGCTAATAGCAGAGTGCTTTTACTCCGTCAATGATTTTTTTTAAAAGTACTCTACTCAGTCATATCACTTTAGAAATGCAATAGTGTAGTAATTATTTTTAGTATGATTTTTGATATTTCAATTGCAATGTAATGTAATTTTATTTCATAATTTTACCTGTACAATTTTAAAAATTTGCATGCTATCTAAATATAGCGAAATGTGTCTTGTGCTTTAAACATTGTACCTACCTACTGTGACTACCACATTTTCTGCAAATAAATATTATTATTATTATTATTATTATTATTATTATTATTATACAACCGAACCGTTTGGACGGAGAAGGAGACGTCGAGTAATTTAGTTGAATGTCCCGGCATTTTTTGTTTTAGGTTCTTGATCTCAACAGTTTGGGGTGTGTGTCATTCAAGAACGTAAACCGTGATTAGAGGTAACGTGGAGTAAAAGGATTAAATAGAATACTATGGAGAAAAGAAAGAATATGTGCATTCCGGCGAAGGCGAATGGGTAACCACTTGAGCTTTTTGCGATAGTCAGAAACATGATCATATTTGCGAAGTCCAAATATAAATCTTATGCAGAGATTTTGGAGTCTCTCCAGATTATTCGATTTGTCTTCAGTAAGATCTAGAAAGTTGGCATCAGCATAATCAACGATCTCGGGACGTACACCTTTAAATTTTCCAAACCACGAATACACAGAGCTGTGACATGGTGCTTTATCACCAAATACCAGTTGAAGTCTCTGGCTACTCTCTTGTTGACTTAAGCCACAACAACAATCATGAAAAATCATTGAACGTAAATGTTCACGACTTAAATTCATTTTGATAGCGACCTGTAATATTCGAAAGGGCGTCACAACGAAAAATAAAAGAAAGTCTCGCAAATTAACAAGTAACATGTTCAGGCTTTAAAGCGTCGTACAGCTGGCAATCGCTATCCTCGTCTGACTAGTGATGTTACGCGCTAACTCTCTTTCACTCTAGCTCAAATATTTACCATCTTTAACAGCCAGCAACCCTTATTTGAGGCCAAATGCTATTAGGCAACCGTATAACATAATAAGCAGAAAAAAAATTAGCTTTAATTTGATATATAAATAATAAACGTACGTTATGAACGTATAAATGTCTCAAAATCATACCTGTTTACACCTGGCTGCGAAGAGGTGCGGCTGAGTGCACAACGGCAACCGTGATTTTTCAGAGTCTTTATATATATTGCTGTGAAGTGGACGATATTTTATTAAAAAATTAGTGAACGAAATGTTTTCCCAAAAATCAATTACCAAAAATTTGATTAAAAATACTAGCGGCCACATTTTGATAGGCAACCTGGTTGATATATAATCTCCTAATCATAAATATGACTAAAAACTGGGTTTTTAGCACATACTCCATGAGTGCACTGATTCTGCAGCCGGATTTCGTACTATTAAGAGTGCGTAATATACAGTGTTGAATACGTTACTGAAGTCCAGCAGTGTTAGGATTGTAAACTCGCCGTTCTCCATGGCAGATCTGATATTCTCCGTAATATGGACTAGGGTAGTAGTGGTACTGTTACCAGGTCGAAAACCGGACTGGAGAGGATTTAGGAGCAGGTTTTTGAATAGAATATTCGTAAGTTGAGAATGAAAAAGACGTGCAAGGACCTTGGAGAGAAAGGTGACGACGGAAATAGGGTGATTATCGGAAAAGTATGTTTGGTTTTTCTTTTTGGGGATAGGTATAATTTCAACAACCTTTCAAGCCGTTGGAAATACGCTGTAGGTAATCGAACAGTTTAACATATCTCAAACAACAGGAAGGGTTTCATCGA